TTACTCACAGCAGGATGGATAACTCTTTGTTTATCTACCGCAAAGGGTCAGATATGGCTTATCTTTTGTTATATGTGGATGACATTATACTGACGGCCTCTTCTGATGCTCTTTGCCGTTCTATTATATCTCTTCTTAGCTCTGAGTTTGCTATGAAGGACCTTGGTCCTTTAAATTATTTTTTGGGTATTGCTGTGACTCGACATAAGGATGGTTTGTTTCTTTCACAGCGGAAATATGCCGAGGAAATAATTGATCGTGCAGGGATGTCATCGTGTAAACCGTCTCAAACACCGGTTGACACGAAGTCCAAGATCGGCGCTACTACTAGTGCTCCTTTTGATGATCCATCTTTGTATAGGAGTCTTGCAGGGGCTCTACAGTACCTTACATTCACCAGACCGGATATTTCTTATTCTGTTCAGCAGGTTTGTCTACATATGCACGACCCCAGGGTTGATCATATGTCTGCTCTCAAACGGATTATTCGGTATGTTCAGGGTACTCTTGATTATGGCTTACATTTGTATCCCTCGTCTATTTCTTCTCTGGTTGCATATACTGATGCAGATTGGGGGGGATGCCCGGATACGAGACGTTCAACGTCTGGTTATTGTGTATTTTTGGGGGATAATTTGATCTCTTGGTCGTCTAAGCGCCAACCCACGTTGTCTAAATCTAGTGCAGAGGTCGAATATCGTGGGGTGGCAAATGTTGTCTCCGAATCATGCTGGATTCGAAATCTTCTCTTGGAGTTACATTGTCCGATTAAAAAGGCTACCCTCGTTTATTGTGACAATGTTAGTGCTATTTATTTGTCAGGAAATCCAGTTCAGCATCAACGTACGAAACACATCGAGTTGGATATTCATTTTGTACGCGAGAAGGTTGCACGGGGGAAAGTTCGGGTTCTACATGTGCCTTCTCGACATCAGATTGCGGATATCTTTACTAAGGGTCTTCCGCGAGTCTTGTTTGAGGATTTTCGTGACAGTCTTAGCGTCCGTGGTCCTCCCGCTTCGACTGTGGGGGTGTGTTAAGATATATATGTAAATATATTCTGTTACTGTATTTTAGCTAAGCATATATTTAGATTGATATGATTGTAATTAGTTCCTAAATAGGTGCCTTGTATTATGGCTAGCATTATGCGGCTACATTGTATATATTGGGAAGTCAGTGAATGAAATCCCTTGAGGAAAATATTCCATAAACTCTTTCATATATATATATATATATATATATATATATATATATATATATATATATATATATATATATATATATATATATACATGAGTTTATTAGATATTAAAGTTTGAAACTTTAATTTATTTTTATTCAAAAAAAGTGACACATATTGTGTTTATCTGTTGTTCCGTCCCCAACATGGAGGAGGTGAGCTGGAAGAGGATGTGATTGATGGTGTTCATGGAATCCCAGAAATCATGGTCGTGTCTCCAAACTTTCCATGGTTTAAAGGAAAAGTGGGTGATGTGTGTCCAGTGGCGGCGCCAACAGTGGGTTATAAGACGGAGGTGGCAGCGGCGGAATTGATTGGAAGAAGAGATAGTATGGTGATTAGAAGAGAATCAGGCAACGAGCTTGATCTGTCATTGATAATGTCGCTGTTCATCTTGATTTTGGTGCACCGAGTTAGTGCTTCAATCTAATTCTTTTATTCAAATCATATGAACAGAATACAAGGATAAAAAATAATGTTAATTTTTTCAAAGAAAAGATAAAAATGGTTTTAGTGTTTTTTTTTTCGATTAAACTATTTAACTTACAAAAAAATCCATATAAATCTTTAAGTGATTTTTTTTAAGTTAAATCTTTTAGCAATTAAAATAATAATTCTTTTCCATCAAATAAATTTGAGATAGTAAAAGTATAATAAACCAAGGGTGCAACGGAAGAGTAAATATGGAGTACTAACCCTAACCCAAAGCTAGCGTTCTTTAGACTCGGATTACAGAAATAAGACCAAATAATATCCTAATCTTCAACTCTGAATTTAACTAAATACTGTAAAATCACAACAGTTTCTTATATGCACTACATCCCAGAATCCAGAGCAAACAAGGAAGGTGTGCGCTTATCAATATATACTTTGTATAATGTAAACTCTTTATGTACAACCCCAAAAACCCGATCTGTTCATGTGATACGATACGATAGTATCTACACACAAGCATTTACGCGGAAAATCATAATTAAGTGCGTGCATTGTAAAGACGATAATATGCACTTGAAAGGTATAGAGGAAAAGGGATCAAACTAACCTATTAGGCTATTATACTGGGCAATTTCAAGAAAATTATAAAAATTATTCACAAAATTGTTTTAATGATGCAAAGAAGACTTGATAAAAGCTACATATGAAATTAGGAAAAATGATCACAAGGGACTAAGGCCCGATTCAGTTCACCTTAAAAAAAAAATATTCAGTAAAAATAATTTCAGTTCAGTAAAAATAATTTAATTTCAGCAAAAATAATTTTAATTCAATAAAATTAATTTCAGTTCAACAAGGGCCTAAATTAGAACATTTTTTTTTTTTTTTGAAGAAACCAGATCATATAAATATACACAAATAAGACAATAAATTAGTCAATATAATGTTTGCAGAATGAACTTAGATTACACAAAAGTGTCATAAAAAAGTTGACAATTTCATATCAAAGTACAAATTGAAGCAAACCATTCTTCAAATCAGAACTTGAAGCAATGATCATCCTGCCGGAGAGCTCAATCCGACAGCTCGATGAAGTTTTTGTACTTTAGTTACAGTAGCGTATGAAGCTTGTCCAAAACAGTAGCATTACTTAAATTGTGTTGTACTCCGTAGCAATTTGATCTTTGATCTCAATTGTCGTCGTGATCCATCAGATCATATTATATGATTATAGCCTTTAAAGTTGCCTAAGCAATGACCTGGTAATTGGTCCTTCATAAGGCCGAGTGTCATTGTAAAAGCTAAGATCCATTAAATTACGAAAGATTGGCACGTCGATCCCATCCAAACCATTAAGATAACTCAGCATATCAGCACCATAAGTAATAAAAACAAGGGACCTAACACAAGAAATCCCTTGAAGTAGCCCAAGAATTAGACTATAATACTCGTAATCCATATCAAAATCATCATCCTTTTCATCATCACTTGGCTCCTCAACTGAAATCAGCACCATTTGCAAATCAATTGGAGTCCTAACAAATTCATAAAACGCTAAGTACCCATGAATCTCACAGTGCTCCAGCTTCGCGGCATCAATAGCAAATCGACAAACTTTGGATCCCCAATCATTCATTCCTATAAACAAATTCTTCAAATTAGACGCAGATATAGCAAAACAATGAACATCTACAGTCAAATTCATACACAACTTCAAATCTTCCAACAACGGCAAAGACTTTATAAGGGTATCAATCAAATAACAATATGAATCACATACAAATAACGAGAGCTTCTTCAAATTAGGCAGATTAATAAAAGTAGTAGGAGCCTTAAACTCGATATAGCCAGGCAAATTCAAGTCTAATTCTATAAGTGACCGAGTTTCAAACACACAAGTAGGTATGTGAAACAAAAGAGATGAATAAAATCCATGAGAATGATGAAATCCTACATTAATTACTTCAGGCTTACGGCGACAAATTTGATGAAGCCAAGGAACAAAGCAAGATAATATCTGCGTTGATTTAGTTGATTGACGGAGAGAAAATTGAAGGTTAAAAGTATGGATTTTAGGGGACGTGAGTTCGGAGAGGATGTGATCAACTGATGTTATGAAAGTACGGAAATCATGAAAGGTGGTTTCGAGGGAGAAGTGGGTAACGTGAGTCCAAAGGTATCGCCAACGACGGGATAAGACGGAGGTAGAGGCAGCGGTATCGATAGAGAGGAAAGAGAGTATGATGATGAGGAGACTATCTGGGAGGTCGCTTATTCTGTCTTCTTCCATGAATTTGATGGATCAAAACCCTAAATTGAAGATTAAAAGGGATTGAATTAAAATTTGATTTAATTATTGGGGAAAGATGATTAATTATGGTGTGGTGTAGTTACAGATAATTTAATTGGATGAAAGAGGAATAGAGAGGAAGGAAAGCAATGGTGAATCGATGAATGGACAATGAAGGGAGAATATGAGAGATGGTACGGTCAGGAATTTGATTTCCAGTCGAAATTGGGGCGGTAATTTTTTTTTTTTTTTTAATTTTTTATTGGAATTATATTAACTGATAAAGTGTTTGATCCAATTAATTGTATGTGGGAAGGGGTGTTAGCCATGTTTGGTGATTAGGGGAAAAAAAAAATTGATTTCAGTTGACGCTAAAGGTTATAAAGTGTGACGAAAAAATCATCACATTATTATCCATGCTCTTAAATTAACTATTGGGGAGCCGGTGAAAATTTATCTACTATTGGAATTATACATTGTGCATTTTTTTTTCAGTCGGAATTGAGGAAAATTGATCTATTACCCAATAAATTATCAATTATGTACAATTACCCAATATTATCAAGCAGTAATGCACTTGCTTAAAAAAATTAAAAAATAAATTAATAAATAAAATCAAGCAGTAATGCACAATAATACACTTATGTTAGTTGGATCAACCAAAATTTAAAAGTTACAGACCATGTAATCATGTATATATATATATATATATATATATATATATATATATTGTTAAGATATATATGTAAATATATTCTGTTACTGTATTTTAGCTAAGCATATATTTAGATTGATATGATTGTAATTAGTTCCTAAATAGGTGCCTTGTATTATGGCTAGCATTATGCGGCTACATTGTATATATTGGGAAGTCAGTGAATGAAATCCCTTGAGGAAAATATTCCATAAACTCTTTCATGGTATCAGTTGCCTAGGGCACAATTTCCTTCATCTTCCGCTGCTTTCCTCGGCTATTGTTCTATAGCTCACGTTTTCTTTCCATCTACTCTCTTCTCTTCTCTATTCTTCACCATGGGTGAATCCAAGTCTCAATATCACCCTGCTCTTGCTGTCACTAACATCAAGGCACACATTCCCATTACTCTCGAAATGGCAAATATGCAATACTCTACGTGGGCGGAGTTGTTCAAGCTTCACGCAAAATCTCATCGGGTCCTTCACCATATCATTCCCCCTGCTGCCGGCAAGGAGAAAGTTCCGTCTACCGAGGAAGAAAAGGAACTATGGCAGACCCTTGATGCTGCGGTTTTATCGTGGCTCTATGGTACTATCTCGACTGACCTTATCAACACCGTTATCGAACCAGATGCAACAGCAATGGAAATATGGAATAGGTTGCGTGACCTATTTCAGGACAATAAACATTCTCGGCTGTGACTCTTGAGCAGGAGTTTTCAACCACGAATTTAGAGGACTTTCCTAATGTCTCGGCTTATTGTCAACGTTTGAAGTCTCTTGCCGATCAACTCAAGAATGTAGGTGCACCGGTTTCGGACAGTCGACTGGTCCTTCAGATGGTTGGGGGCCTTACGAAAGCGTACAGTGGTGTTGGTACGCTTATTAGGCAGAGCAATCCCTTACCCGCTTTTTATCAAGCACGATCCATGCTTACTTTAGAGGAGGTCGGCTTGGCCAAGGATGCTTCACAAGGGTCGGACTCGGCAATGGTTGCGGCATCATTTGATAATTCTCCGCTTGACTCCGGTTCTCATGGTCACTCGAAAGGAAAAAATCAAAAAAAGGGAAAAATTCAGGCAACCGCAAGAATTCTGGTGGTGCAGGCCGTGGCTCCGGTGGCGGCAAGGCGGGTCAGTTTTCTGGTGGTGTTTCCGGCGGTGCGCCACGTGGGACAGGCGGCCAGCAGTCCTTCTCCCCGTTCTGGCAGCAACAGTGTCCACCATGGGGTGGATGCCTCAAGGGTGGCCCGTGCCACCATGTCCTTACCCAACTCAGAATTGGGCCAAGCCCAATTTCCAACCCAGGCAGCAACACACAACAAGGCCAGCAGGCCTATGCAGCTTCTTGTATTGGGCAGCCCGCGTCCTATGCTCCGTCTTATGTTCCAACTGACATTGAGTCCGCGATGCACACTATGACTCTTTCTCAACCCGATCCGGCATGGTACATGGACACTGGAGCTACTTCTCATATGACCTCCTCTCCCGGTAATTTCTCGTCTTATTTTAATTTGAGCACTCATCCTAATAATGGCATTGTTGTTGGTAATGGTCATACTATTCCTATACTTGGTTATGGTCATACTAAATTGTCTTCCCCTACTGCTCCCCTTACTCTGAAAAATGTTCTTCATGCACCTAAACTCATCAAAAATCTCATTTCTGTTAGAAAATTTACCACCGATAATTCTGTGAAAGTTGAGTTTGATCCCTTTGGGTTTTCTGTGAAGGATTTTCGGACGGGGCAGCCAATCATGAGGAGTGATAGCCATGGGGACCTTTATCCATTTACCACAAATCAGGCTACTCATTCTACCTTTGCCGCCATCTCACCTAAGCTTTGGCACGATCGGTTGGGACATCCGGGTGCTCCTATCTTAGATGTTCTTAGGCATAATAAAAACATTGATTGTAATAAACATTCTTGTTCTAGCATTTGCAATTCTTGTGTTTTATGGCAAACATGTTAAATTGCCCTTTGCTCCATCTACTTCTACTACTCTTATGCCTTTTGATATAATTCATAGTGACTTGTGGACTTCACCTATTTTAAGCTCTATAGGCCATCGTTATTACATTATGTTTTTGGATGATTTTTCGAAATATCTATGGACTTTTCCTATAGCCAAGAAATCGGATGTGTATGACACTTTTCTAGCTTTTAAAGCCCATATCCACACTCAATTTGAACGAAATATCAAAAATATTCAATGTGATAATGGGAGGGAGTTTGATAATGGTCCTTTTTGGGAATTTTGCAAACGCAATGGCCTATCTTTCCGTCTCTCTTGTCCCCATACTTCTCCTCAAAATGGGAAAGCCGAACGGAAACTTAGAACTATTAACAATGTCACTAGAACTCTTCTTGCTCATGCATCTCTACCTCCTTCCTTTTGGCATCATGCCTTGCAAATGGCTACATATCTTCTCAATATTCTTCCAAGTAAGTTGTTGGGTAATAAGTCTCCTTTAGAAATTCTTTATCAACGAATTCCTTCTTACTCACACTTACGGGTGTTTGGTGTTTATGCTACCCTCTTATTCCTTCTACCACCATTAATAAGTTACAACCAAGGTCTACTCCTTGCGTCTTTTTGGGTTTTTCCTTCTAATCATCGTGGTTACAAGTGTTTTGATTTATCGTCACATAAAAATCATTATTTGTCGCCATGTCTTGTTTGATGAGAGTGTGTTCCCATTTTCTAATCTTCATCGTCCAACTTCTACCTCGTATGATTTTTTGGGGGATGGATTACATCCTTTGGTTTGTTCATCACTTGACCCAAGCTGCTGAACCTACACAAAACGTCCAGCATAATTCTCCACCTCCCTCCCCTGCGGCCCAGCCCGTTACCCCTCCCTCCCATCCAGCCCAGGCCC